CACAACAGATTAGACCACGCGGAAGAAAGAATCTCAGAGGTAGAGGACAAAGCTCTTGAGATAACTCAGATAGTTAAAGAGGCAGAAAAGAAGAGACAGAAAGCAGAATGGTCACTGACAGAATTATGGGAGTTTATGAAGTCCCAAACATATGAGTTATAGGTATCCCAGAAGGGGAAGAAGAATGCCCTAGGGGAATGGAAGCCATACTAGAAAATATTATAAATGAAAATTTCCCAAATATCACCAAAGATTATGACACACTCCTTTCAGAGGGATATCAGATCCCAGGTCGCCTCAACTCTAAAAGAGCTTCTCCAAGACACATTGTGATGAACCCGTCCAAAGTCAAAACAAAAGAAAAGATTCTGCAATCTGCCAGGAGTAAGCACCAGTTGACCTATAGGGGCAAATCCATCAGGGTGACTACAGACTTCTCTGATGAAACTTTTTAAGTGAGAAGACAATGGTCATCTACCTTCAATCTACTTAAACAGAACAATATCCAGCCCAGAATTCTATATCCTGCTAAGCTAAGCTTTAAAATTGACAGAGAAATCAAATCATTTGCCGATATATAAACACTGAGGAAATTTGCCATGAGACCAGCTCTACAGGAAATACTTCAACCTGTTCTACACACTGCCCATCACAATGGATCACCAGCAAAGTAAGAACTCAGAAATTAAAGGACAGATCCTAACTTCCACAATGATGCAAAAGATAAAACTAAGCAATGGACTCTCACAAAATAAGATGAATAGAACACTACACACTTATCAATTATCTCAGTAAATGTTAATGGTTTGAATTCCCCACTGAAGAGACATAGATTGACTGATTGGATTAAAAAATACAAGCCATCCATTCACTGTCTGCAGGAAACACACCTAGCCTCAAAAGACAAAGTAAAACTCAGAGTTAAGTGTTGGAAGACAATCTTTCAGGCAAATGGAACTCAGAAGAAAAGAGGGGTTGCAATCTTATTTGCAAATACATGTGGATTTAAAGGAACTATAGTCAAAAAAGACAAAGATGGTCACTTCATATTGGTCAAGGGAAAAATACAACAAGAAAACGTTTCAATTCTAAATATTTGTGTACCCAACTTAAATGCTCCCAGATTCTTGAAACAGACCTTACTCAGTCTGAGCAATATGATATCCTATAACACCATAACAGGGGACTTTAACATTCCTGTTACAGAGCTGGACAGATCCTCTAAACAGAAATTAAACAAAGATATAAGAGACTTAAATGAGACCCTAGAACAACTGTGCTTGACAGATGCATATAGAACACTCTATCCCAAAGATAAAGAATATATATTCTTCTCATCACCCCATGGAACATGCTCCAAAATCGATCATATCCTAGGACACAAAACAAATCTCAACAGAATCAAAAGAATTGAAATTTTACCTTCAATTGAGATTTTGCCTGTATCTTCTCAGACCACAAGGCACTAAAGGTGGAACTCAACTCCAACAAAAAACGTTCAACCCCACACACAGGCATGGAAATTAAACAACCTTCTGTTGGCTCGGCGCCTATAGCTCAACCGGCTAGGGCGCCAGCCACGTACACCTAAGGTGGCGGGTTCGAGTCCCCAGCCTGGACCCGCCAAACAACAATGATGGCTGCAACCAAAAAATAGCC